GAATTACAATAGGACTCAGAAAACCTGACTCACTTACCATGAAATACGATAGGACTCAAAAAACTTACTCCCTAACTGTGAATTACAATAGGACTCAGAAAACTTACTTCCTAACTGTGAATTACAATAGGACTCAGAAAACTAACTCCCTTTACTGTGAATTACAATAGGACTCAGAAAACTAACTCCCTTACTGTGAATTACAATAGGACTCAGAAAACTGACTCACTTACCGTGAAATACGATAGGACTCAAAAAACTGACTCCCTAAGTGTGAATTACAATAGGACTCAGAAAACTGACTCCCTAACTGTGAATTACAATAGGACTCAGAAAACTAACTCCCTTACTGTGAATTACAATAGGACTCAGAAAACTGACTCCCTAACTGTGAATTACAATAGGACTCAGAAAACTAACTCCCTTACTGTGAATTACAATAGGACTCAGAAAACTGATTCCCTTACTGTGAATTACGATAGGACTCAGAAAACTGACTCCCTAACTGTGAATTACAATAGGACTCAGAAAACTGACTCCCTTACTGTGAATTACAATAGGACTCAGAAAACTGACTCCCTAACTGTGAATTATGATAGGATTCAGAAAACTGACTCCCTAACTGTGAATTATGATAGGACTCAGAAAACTGACTCCCTTACTGTGAATTACAATAGGACTCAGAAAACTAACTCCCTTACTGTGAATTACAATAGGACTCAGAAAACTGACTCCCTAACTGTGAATTACAATAGGACTCAGAAAACTAACTCCCTTACTGTGAATTACAATAGGACTCAGAAAACTGACTCCCTAACTGTGAATTACAATAGGATTCAGAAAACTAACTCCCTTACTGTGAATTACAATAGGACTCAGAAAACTGACTCCCTAACTGTGAATTACGATAGGACTCAGAAAACCGACTCCCTAACTGTGAATTACAATAGGACTCAGAAAACTGACTCCCTAACTGTGAATTACAATAGGACTCAGAAAACTTACTTCCTAACTGTGAATTACAATAGGACTCAGAAAACTTACTTCCTAACTGTGAATTACAATAGGACTCAGAAAACTAACTCCCTAACTGTGAATTACAATAGGACTCAGAAAACTAACTCCCTTACTGTGAATTACAATAGGACTCAGAAAACTTACTTCCTAACTGTGAATTACAATAGGACTCAGAAAACTAACTCCCTTACTATGAATTACAATAGGACTCAGAAAACTAACTCCCTAACTGTGAATTACAATAGGACTCAGAAAACTAACTCCCTTACTGTGAATTACAATAGGACTCAGAAAACTGACTCCCTAACTGTGAATTACAATAGGACTCAGAAAACTAACTCCCTTACTGTGAATTACAATAGGACTCAGAAAACTGACTCCCTAACTGTGAATTATGATAGGACTCAGAAAACTGACTCCCTAACTGTGAATTACAATAGGACTCAGAAAACTAACTCCCTTACTGTGAAGTACAATAGGACTCAGAAAACTGACTCACTTACCGTGAAATACGATAGGACTCAGAAAACTGACTCCCTAACTGTGAATTACAATAGGACTCAGAAAACTGACTCCCTTACTGTGAATT